GGCTGTTGAGATGGAAGGGGCAGTGGGTGGGGGCCCCTAAGGGCTGGGTCCAGGCAGGGGCCTGTGATTCAGGAGGCCCTGGGGCACCGGTTCAGGTTCTCCTGGAGGGGATTGTGTTGGGATCCTGTAACCTGTGCCCTCCGAATGACATCTGTAGGTGTGTTTAGTGACATACTCAGCAGGTACGGGAAGGATGGGCCTGTGCCAAAGGCCAAGCCCAGAGATGTTTCAGATTTTTCCCTTTATGCCCCTGCAACCAAGCCCTGCTGCTTCAGCACATATAAGAGACCCAGGCTGGGGCTGCAGCATTCACGGGCCTGTCCCCTCGAGTTTCTCTGAGAAAGCCAAGCTCGCTCTCCTCTCCGCAACCATGATCTCCAGACAGCAGTGCGTCCGAGGCGGGTCCCAGGGCTTTAGCTGTGTCTCGGCTGTCGTCGGCGGGGGCAAGAGGCCTGCCTTCAGCTCAGTCTCCACGTCTGGGGGCACGGGCCGCTGCTCCTCTGGGGGCTTCGGCAGCAGGAGCCTCTACAATCTCGGGGGGAGAAAGAGCATCGCCATCAGCATGGCCGGGTCCCGGCAAGGCGCTGGCTTCGGGGCTGCTGGAGGTTTTGGCGTTGGCAACTTTGGTAGTGGATTTGGGGGTTCTTTTGGTGGACGGGGTGGTCCTGGCTTCCCCGTCTGCCCTGCTGGGGGGATTCAGGAGGTCACCATCAACCAGAGCCTGCTGACTCCACTCCACGTGGAGATCGACCCCGAGATCCAGAAGGTCCGGACTGAGGAGCGCGAGCAGATCAAGACCCTCAACAACAAGTTCGCCTCTTTCATCGACAAGGTGAGCCGCCCCTTTGGCCAGACACGGTGCTAGAAACCAGGGGTCCTGTGTCCTGGGCTTTCACACCTGAGCCTGCCACAGCGTTGGGAACCACTGAACTTCTCTGGGCCTCTGTTTTCTAGCCGTTAAAGGGGGCTCATTCCTCCAAGTCTTCCTCTTTTGTCCACGGGGGTGGGAAGACAGGCTACTCAGAGCAATGCAGTGTTGGGAGTCTTCTTAGACGTGCTCTGTGACACTGGGCAAATTGCTCAACTTTGCTGAGTCCAGGCATCCCTGCTATACGGTTTCCCTGGGTGCATTGTTTCCCTGCTGTTTTCTCAGGTTTGGTTTTGGAAGTAACGTGGCTAATAATCTAATGATTAGCCAAAATTAATTATAGTTAATATAAGAATTTAACTAGTGGCACTTTTGTTGTTGGAGCAGAAGAAAACCACGCTGGTTTCCCAAAGGCAAAAGGGACCAATGGGACCCTGGAGAGTCATCTTCTTCATCCTCCTGACTCTGGGCAGACTTGCTCATTTCTGGGTCTGTTAGAGAGGAGGGGTTGGGTCTCTCCTTTTCTCTTTGTACTCTAACTTCGTTTCCCATGCAGGGTCTAGAGATTCAAGTCCTTTTTTTTTTTTCTTTTTAGATTTATTTATTTTTGAGAGAGAGAGAGAGAGAGAGAGAGAGAGAGAGATGGAATGTGAGTGGGGGAGAGGTAGGGAGAGACGGAGACACAGAATGCCGAGCTGTCAGTACAGAGCCCGATGCGGGGCTCGATCTCATGAACCGCGAGATCACCACCTGAGCCGAAGTTGGATGCTCAACCGACTGAGCCACCCAGGCGCCCCTAGAGATTCACGTCCTTGAAGCTCAGTTACAGCCAAGTATGATGGATGATAGCAAGCAGATAAGCCCAGATTTCTAAGTCATCTGAAGATTAATGATTTAGTGGATGAGTGTAGTACATTTAGTCAAGGGTGCCTTGATTGTCTGTGCATCGAAATCTCAGTCCTCTTAGAATGTACGGGGCAAGAATGAACAATCTTGGAGTAGACTGAGTGGGAACGTTTTCTCTTCTTACTAGTTGGATAAGCCGTCAGTAGCTTAAAGAGGCTTTATGGTGACTCTAGGACACGCAGATATAAAAGCAAGGCCCGGAGTTCGGTGCTTCCTTGTCTCATCTCCCCTCATTGCATCTTGTGGGTTCAGACTGTGATCAGTCACCCTTACCTGCTTTTCTTTCAGCTCTGAAGCACATACAGTGGGAATATTGTGCCAAACCGCTACCTTGGCTTATCTTGTTGGATCTCTTCGTAGAGAGAGGGAAGGTTCAGGGAAGTCCCCTTGGAGAGCGAGCCTGGCCGAGACTGGGAATGTGTCTAGGGCCTTGGTGCTAACTATTGATACTCAGTTGTGCACAGGTTTAAAGAGACACCTCAGGCCCATTTATTCCAAAAATCTTCAGCGAATTTATCATGCCTTTGCCTTGGGTCAGCATCGCTTTGAACGCAAGAGTTCCCAGACTGTGGTTTTATCTCCTAGTTTTTGTTTATTTTATTATTGCATAGAAGTTCAATGTTCTTCTCAGCAAGTTGCCTCAGGGCCTCTGGGTCCCCGTGGTCAGGAAGTGGTGCCTGCAACACATGCGTTCCATCGTTGCCATGGAGCAGGGCCGCCATGTTGACCCCAATGGATGGTGCCTGGAGTTGTGACACGGTGGCCCTACTTGTATGGCTTTTGGGTCACCTGGGTGGCTGTGGCCAATCCTCCTGCCAAAGCTTCATTCAGGCCCTCATGGGCTGGCCGGTGCCTTTTTAACACAGGTGCGGTTCTTAGAGCAACAGAATAAGGTCCTGGAGACCAAGTGGAACCTCCTCCAGCAGCAGACGACCACTACATCCAGCAAAAACCTTGAACCCCTCTTTGAGGCCTACATAAGTGTTCTGAGGAAGCAGCTGGATACCTTGGCCAATGACAAAGGACGGCTGCAGTCTGAGCTGAAGTCCACGCAGGACAGCGTGGAGGACTTCAAGACCAAGTATGTGTGGAGCACGGAGGGACACCGCCTGCCAATATCTGCCCAGCCATGCCCCAGGGTCCCTGGGTTCCAGTCCAGTCCTTTAGAATCTCAGCCTCTGAAGAGATCCCAAAAGCGTCAGGAAGGTTTTCTAGTTTGTTCCCCTGCATCCACATGGTCCCATTAAAAAATGGTGTGAGGCCTTGTTGCCCCAAATAGAAAACGAGTGATGCATTTGGGGAATTGGGCTTGCTGCATACAAACAAGATCAGAAACTGCACAGATGAAAAGTAGTAGGGCATGGTCAGAAGAATACAGGTTGTGGAGACAGACCTTGTTTGGATACTGATTCCTCCACTTACTAGCTGTGTGATCTTGGGTAACTTGCTTAACCTCTCTGAGCCTTAGTTTTCTTCATCTTTAAAATAGGCTAATAATCCTACCTTTTAGCTTTTGAGAATTAAATGAAATTAAGTAAGATCGAGAAAAGAGGTAGCATAGCAATGGACATAACATGAACATTTAATGCAGTACCTCTTCCTATACTTACTATGGTGTAGACCTGAGAAAATACTGATCTGCTCTCTCCACTCGCTCTCGCACCAAACAAAGAGAGCTGGAGCACTGGCAGCATTCCTGAGAATTTAATCCACCAAAGGGTCAGCCCTTCTATAAAGATAAAACCAACCAGACCATGCGGGGTTCTCCTCTTCACGCCTTATTTCTTGAAGACAGTCTTTATAAAGTTTGATTTTTCACTTCTCTGAATAAACCAGGGTCTAGGCTGATCTCTCATACATGGTAATTAACAAATGTAAGTTGAATGAGCATTTGCATGAAAACAGCAAAATGCAGCCAATTACTTGGATATTTCCAAAGAGTTAGATGTTTGAAAGCCAGCAGCAGAGATCGGGGAAACACTAGCTCACTGTGCGGCTTTTGTCTTTTTCTTCCCACCCCTCCCCCCAGGTATGAGGATGAGATCAGTAAGCGGACGACTGCCGAGAATGACTTTGTGGTCCTCAAGAAGGTAAGAGATGAAGGGGGGGAGGGGCTATGAGGGTATCCCTTCCCTCGAGAATCATGGAATCATGGGTTTGGTTCATCTCGGCCTCATCTTTACCCCACTTGGTACTCTCCAGATCTATGTGGTCAAAGGAGTGGGTAACTGCACCAGACCCTAAGGAACTGAAGTTGGGGATAAAAGCCCATTTGGATAAGTAGTTTCCATTTCTGCAGCTGGCTTTAGGGGCAGAGTATGTCAGACAATGAGTCCTTTGTCACCTCACCTGTACTGAGAAGCTTTCCCTACATGCTGCCGAGAACATCTTTGTGTGTCACTTGACATTCGTTCCCTTGCCCCGCTTGTGATTTCTGTACCTTTGTCTCTTATCCCCCACCTCTGCAGGATGTGGACATCGCGTACATGACCAAGGTGGAGTTGGAGGCCAAGGTGGATGCTCTGAACGATGAGATCAACTTCTTGAGGGTCCTCTTTGCTGCGGTGAGGACTCCATCCCCGTCCATTCAAAGAAGGCAGTCCCTCATGTGTGAGGCTGCTGCAGGCATTCACAGTTCTTTGAAAGGACTCCAGCTCCCTTACTTGCTGAGGGCACTCTCAGCAAGGTCATGGGTAGAAAGAATTGAAGTGAGAGACTCAACTCGGAGGTTTTTGAAACCAGATGTGGTCTTAGGAGGAGTGATTAGATCCAAGATTGCATGGGATGGAATGTCTTGCTGTCCAGCATTTCCCTGGTGAAATGAATCCATTCATTGATCACCTGCTTATGGTTCCCAGAGAGCAGCAAAGACCAGAAGCATTACTTTTTTTGTCTTGAAATGTCACCACCAATCACCTGATTTCTACATAAAAACTTACCGCTCTCCCTACACATTGGGATGTCAACCCTACTTCCATCTGAGTCTGTGGCATGGCCATTTCCATCACCACAGTGGATTTTTGGTGTCAGAGATTAGGGAAGACTCTCTGGGGAAACTGACACGAGACATTTTCCCTGCAGGAGCTGTGCCAGATGCAGACTCATGTTTCAGACACGTCCGTGGTCCTGTCCATGGACAACAACCGGAACCTGGACCTAGACAGCATCATCGCTGAGGTCCGTGCCCAGTATGAGGAGATCGCCCAGAAGAGCAAGGCGGAGGCTGAGGCGCTGTACCAGACCAAGGTGGGTATTGGGGACCTCTCAGGAGCTGGGGGTGGTTTCTGGGACTCTGCTTTTGATGTTTGTGAGCAGGTGATCACCACTCAAGCCTGAGAGATGTCAGAGATGAACTCATGTCCCGGGCATCACTGGTCCTGGTCTAATTTGAGATTACATGATATTTTGTATTATCCCTGCCACCTATTCTTGCTGACTTCACTTGAGAGTGGACCCTATCCAAACAGCCCTGACCCTTCATTCCCTGTGTTTTCCTGGATATTAGGTCCAACAGCTGCAGATCTCAGTTGACCAACATGGTGACAGCCTGAAGAACACCAAGAGTGAGATCTCAGAGCTCAACAGGATGATCCAGAGGCTGCGGGCTGAGATTGAGAATGTCAAGAAGCAGGTAAGTGTCACCACCTTCTAGCCATGGAACAGGGCCAGGGCAGGTGTCTCCATAGCAGACAAACAGATCTGGTAGCAGGCCAGGAGATCCTAAGCTTGTGTGCAGGGGATTTGTGACTCCTTATGTAAACCACACTCAGGTCTTCTTAGCAATGTTCTACTTAACCTGACATGACACCCTGGTAAATAAGGTTTCTTGGCTCTTTTTCGTTGGTTTTTGCTCATCTTTATCTAATCAGTCTGGTAGGGATGTTGGCGGGCCCTGGTGGTAGTAAAGGAAATGTATGAATAGGACAGGTGGGGAGAAGGACAGAATCCTGACATCTTAGCCCAAGTGAAGCTGGCACAGCAGAGGGGCAGATGGAGAAGGCTTGACATTAGGGCACTGATGATTGCCTGTTCGATGCCGTTGTCTACAGTGCCAGACTCTGCAGGCGTCCGTGGCTGATGCAGAGCAGCGTGGGGAGCTGGCCCTCAAAGATGCCTACAGCAAGCGCACAGAGCTGGAGGCCGCCCTGCAGAAGGCCAAGGAGGAGCTGGCCCGGATGCTGCGGGACTACCAGGAGCTCATGAGCGTGAAGCTGGCCCTGGACGTGGAGATCGCCACCTACCGCAAGCTGCTGGAGGGCGAGGAGTGCAGGTGGGATGGGCAAGGCAGAGAGGGAAGGTGAGGGAGGGAGATATTCTGGAGCCTTGAGTTTGCACCTCTGCTGGGCCACCTGCTTCAGTGCTGCATGGGTGCGTTATGAAGCAGGGCAGTGTGGGCAACAGGTTCACATTCAGACCTTTAACTTGGCTACATAAGGATGGGATATGTGTTTGAGACCCGCTCATTGCACGGAGCCTGGCTCCGGGCTCTGCTGTGACTCACTGCTCTTTCTCTCCCCCACAGAATGTCTGGAGAATGCCAGAGTGCCCTGAGCATCTGTAAGTACCTTCCACCCCTTCCATGGCCTTTTGTCCACCCCGGTTCGGGGGAGACCCCTGGGTGCCAGTGTTGTTGGAATAACCATACCCTTTGTGTCTCTCCTGCAGCTGTGGTTGGTGGTGGCGCTAGTGCTGGGACCATCGGCGGAGGATTAGGAAGCTGCTCTGGGTTTGGCCTGGGCAGTGGCTTTGGCTCTGGCTCCGGAAGTGGCTTTGGGTTTGGTGGCGGTGTCTGTGGCAGTTCTGGCAGCAAGATCATCTCTACCAGCACCATGATCAAGAGGTCCCACCGATAGAGGAGACAAGGTCCCTGCAGCCCTTGAGCCCAGCTGGGCCCAGCCCTGGTATCTCTGTGCTTCTTTCACCCCTGCCTCCACCCTCCCTCTCTGGGGCTCATCTTCCCAGTGTCACCTCAGTGTGGACTCTGCCCTCCTGGAGTTTGGTATCTTCCTCTCGATTTGGTCCTGGTTACCACCTGGAATGAAAGGGGTGTCAGCTGATTCTTCACCTCCTACAGGCAGAGGAGAACACAACCAGGAGTTTCATCTCCTGGTTAATCAGGGTCACGTATGTCCCCTCCCAGCCCGTGGCCCCGGATATCTCTCTACATCAGGACCAAACTCCTCTGTTAGTTGGCAGCAACCTGGCCTGCAAGGTCAGGACAGGAACCACTCAGGGTCCCATCCACCTCTTCTCCACCTCTCTATCCATTTTGGGTGAATCTCTAATAAAACGCTTTTGTCATTCACTCTGAGTCATTGTCCTTGTTCCCTGGAGAGAAGTCTCCAGAATTCAGGTGGGATCAAAGGAGGCTGGGGCCTGAGGGATATGTCTGCACAGATCAAGGCCATCATCTAATCTGGGAGAGACGTGCTGTGTGTGGAGTCTGAAGGCTGCTCCAGAACAGGGGCACAGACTCCCAACAACCAACAAGTACACAAAGATGGAAGACAATCAGAGCAGGTCCATCTCAGTGTGGAGCCTGCAGTGAGCCTGAAGGGAAGGGGGTAGAGGAGAGGCAGTCAGGGGGTCTCCAATGAATATGGAACGAGAGGTTAGGGAGCTTATGGAGAGTTTATACTCAGTGTCTAGCAAGGCCTCCCTACTTTCATGAAACTCCACGCATGGGACTCAATCTAACTGGACCAGCAAGGGTTTCTGGAACTTCTTCTAAGAATCAACAAGATCCCGATTGCTGGATGGAGGGATAGAAGCATGTTGTTCTCGCAGAGCTTTCATGCCCTGCCCACTTTCCCATCTCAGGTGATTATGTCTAGGGTTGTGTCCATACTGCTGTCCCTGAGTGGTGAGGACGTGGGGGACGGGAGGCAGGTCTGCTAGAGCAGTAGAAGGCGAGGCTGCCTGATTGGGCCAGCCCTGGAGAAATGAAGATGAGGAAATGAAGATGAGGTGAGGGCAGTGAGAGGTGGGGGTCTGGTTATAGCATTTGTGGACACCCTGTTTCTATATTGGACCAATTTCAAGCTATGCCGAGGAGCATAATTTTCCTGCACCGTTCCCCGTGTGGTCTGACCTAAATCCCTCCGACTGCAGATGCAGGAGGCACTCATTCCCTTGGCCACTCAGTTGGAGCTTCCCACCCTGGACTGCCAGGCAATTCATTCAGACTCCAGTCCCCCCAGCACAGTGCCCATGGGGCCCTTCTGCGTGCAGACAGAAGGGCACACGGGTTGCCCAGGGCCTGTCCCTGCCCAAGTGGCCTTCACACAGACCTGGAGGTGGGCTCAGGGCAGCAGGGGCAGGCAACAAAGCGTTAATCTCAGGGGCTTGTGCTCCCTGGGCTGGAAAGGCTGGTCCTTCTTCAGCCCCGCCCTAGTCTCCCCTTTGTCTTGGGGCTCACCCCCATGTGTCAGACCAGGAAGTCTTTGACTTCTTCCCACCACTGAGCCCCTCCCCTGGGAACATGCTGAATTGGCTCTTTTGTAAGTTCCTGGAGCTGGGAGGAGGAGTCAAAGGTTAGCAGTAAGGGAGGGACTTCTCAAGTTCACCCACCAGGAAGGTTCGGGTTGTGATGGGCCACCCTGAGGAGCTGGGGGCAGGTTACCGAATTTCTCATACCCGCTGAGCAAGTCAAGTGTGGGACTAGCCAGCCTGAGTGGCACCGCTAGGCCTCCAGGGCCTCTTTAGTTGGATATAATGGTTTACACAGGAAACTCAGGTCAAGTGCGTGTGTGTCTTTGAATAAATGTGTTTCTGCAGGAAAGTGGTTATGTGAGTATGTTTGTGTTTCATTTCTATAAAGAAGACTCCTGGTTCACCTACAAGAAGAGAAGCATTCCTGTTGGTCTCTGTTACCAGAACAATCCAGGGGAGTGGATCCTGGCCATGAGCCATAGGTCTGGAGCTGGCTGGCTATTGAAAGGGGATTATTATTTGTGGGGAAAGTCCAATTCTGAGATGATAGGCACCGCTCTTCTCTTAGATCTTTGAACTGGATCTGGCCAGCTCTTTGTGTTCAGGGAGCTATGGAGACACAGACTGTATTACTTACCCTTTGGAAGGCCCTGCAGTCTCCACACCCTCCCCCCACCCCCAAATGCTTTAACATGAGGAGTACTAAAACCACTTCTCACATTGTAATGGCCCAAATGTGGGTTGGCAGATGTTTAACTCATTTTATTTGGTTCATCTGCCTTGACCCCCACTCTTCAGGCTCTTGACCTCCAGCCTTGGCTGCAACCTCACTGGTGGTTTGGCTCAGGCTCCAGGCTCACAAGCAATGACCTTATTTGCATAGGTCCCTCCCCCTTTGCCAAGACCCTCTGCTCTGAGTCCAGCCCTCCCAGTTTCAGAAAATTCTTGCCAACACTTCTGAAGTCTTTCTGCCTTGTTGCTAGTAAAACTGAAGGATATAACAGAGAGGGATTTATTTAGTGTTGCCCCCTTGTGGGATTTTGGTTTTGCCTGCTATGGGGACTCAGGTTTTGGATTCTAGGACCAGAGGACCTCAGAATAAGGCAGGTCCACTACCATGTCTTGAGTGATGGTCAAGGTTTAATGAGACAGCGATCTAGGGAAATAACTAAGGGAGCTGTGTCCTCCTTTGTTAGCCCTGGAGGCAAGGGAATAATGGGTCCGGCCAGGGCAAAGAGAAGGAGCAAGCTGAAGGAAGAAGCCATTTTAGCACCTGTTCCACCCTTTTGCTGTTTGAAGGTAGAGACTTAACAGTCATCTTTCTATCCCATGGAAAGAAGGCTGGGAGTGTAGGACCGTGGCCATGAAGGGTCTTGGTGGGAGCCCCAGGACTCAGGCTTGTTGCTGCCCATGGTTTCTTGCATCTGTGGGGTTTTTACTTGAAGTGCTGTGGATTTGGTCCTCAAAAATTCAAAGGAGAAGCTAGATGAGCTAGGAAGAGGTTTTGGGGAGAAAGAGTTTGGACTGCCATTTGCCATTCACCTGTCTGTCATCCACCATCCATCCATCTACTGTCTATCCCATCCACCCATCCATCCACCCATTTATTAGCTTTTCAATTTTCTAGGGCAGGGACTGTGTTTATTCATTTTGATATTTCAAGGCCAGTGTGCTTGTCACATAGTAGATATTTCACAAATGTTGGTTTAATGAACCAATGTGAGTTGGTTTAATGAACAGATGTCCTAGGCAATGTTCTAATAAGAATTAGACGATTCTTTCAAGGAGTTTTCAATCAGGGTAATAATGTCTAGATAAAAACATGCACATATATAACCTGGAAGAGATGAAGAGGGAACTCTGGGCCACCTGCTTTTGGGGTGTGGCCTTCAGGCCCAGGGTATGCTTTGGATTCACATCTGGGAAGTGCCCCACGTGCACCTCTCTCCCCTTCAGGCAGCTGTAATGCTAAACCTTGGCCCTGCTCTGCCTCCTTTCCCACTCTTGTTTACTGTGAGCAAACGTTCTGGGGCCCAGCAGGTTTGTCATCACTCCCTTATTTCCTGGTAGAATCGTCTTTCCCCTAGCGACATCCATTCCTTCGATATTTGCTGCGTGCTTTCCTTATGCTGGGTGCTGTCTTCTTGGACTAATTACATAGTATCCTGTGGTCCCCTTATTTCCCACCATGATAGCACCCTCTGCCTGGTGTCCAACTGGATTCCCTCAAAGCTGCAGCAGAGAGGAGAGCCCTGCTTTTCAAATCATTGCCCGGAAAAATACATTTAAATTTCCTGTTAACTTTCTCTTTCCCAGGTTAAATGATCACTTGACCTTCCCCCCCCCCTTTTAGTTTTTGTTTCAGGCAATTTATTTCATAACTTCCTAAGTTGTTTTTGGAATCTCCCACGGAGGACAAGATGGGATTTCTGCTACTGACAATCTCCAGTTTGAGAAGCATACTGGACAAACAGGATTCAGCACAAACATGGTGGAGAGCTCCTATCACTCAGGACAATCTTGCTTAGATAAAGCATTATTGAGGGCGAGCCTCCCTCTCGGTTTTATTGTCTTTTTTATCTTCTCTATAAGTCTGCTTTGCGGCCATTGTTCTTTCAGTTTATTCTTACAGCGGGACGTGGAAGTGAGTTTTTTAAAATCAGGATGCAAGTTTCTGTCTTGGAAGGTAAAGAAGGTGAAATGGGTCTCAACACAGTCTGCCTTGACCTCATAACCTACTCTCTACACAGCTGCCAGACTCATCCTTTTACAAGTCACCTCACGTCGGGGCACCTGGGTGGCTCAGTCAGTTAAACGTCCAACTTCGGCTCAGGTCATGATCCTGCAGTCAGCGGGTTCGAGGCCTGAGTTGGGCTGTGTGGACAGCTCAGAGCCTGGAGCCTGCTTCAGATTCTGTGTCACCCTCTCTCTGACCCTCCCCTGCTCATGCTCTGTCTCTCTTTCCTGAAACCCTTCAGTGACATCTCCTCTCACCTCTTCCCTCATTCTGCTTCAGCTCTGCTGGCCCCATGCCGTTCCTCAAATGCTCCCCATTCTCCTGCCTCAGCCTCAGGGCCTTTGCACTTGTGATTCTCTCTGCCCAGGACACCCTTTACTCACATGCTTGCATGTCTTGTTCCTTCACTGTGTTCGGATTATCCGCTCAGGTCCCCTTAGACCACTCTCTATGAGATAGCACCCCTTGTCATGTCTACCCCCCTTTCCTGCTGTATTTATTTGGTAGTGCCTTCCACTGCCTGACAAACATGTATTTATTTCTTTATTGTCTGTTTCCCACTGGCATTGTGGACCCTAGAAGAGTGGGGACTCATCTATTGTGTCCACTATTGCTTTCCTGGTGCCTAGAATGGTGCTTGGTAAATAGTTAAGTGCTCAATAAGTATTCATTTTATAATTAGAC